TTCTACTCTAGCGGTGTGTTTACAGGAGAGTGTGGCACGGAACTCGACCATGGTGTTACTGCAGTTGGTTATGGAACGAGTGATGATGGCACCAAGTATTGGCTGGTGAAGAACTCTTGGGGAACAAGTTGGGGTGAAGAGGGCTATATAATGATGCAAAGAGATGTTGATGCGAAAGAAGGCCTTTGTGGCATTGCAATGCAAGCCTCCTACCCTACTGCATGATTTGAGGAAGATTAAAAGGAAAGAGTGTACATTAATTATGTGTAATTCTGGTCATGTTAATAGAAGGAAACCCATGAACAGGTGATATGTATTTGAAATCTGAAATCGTTGTATGATTGCTACAATCATGTTGTGTGGCTGTAAAATTCTTGGCTTCGTTGTATGTCCATACTGCCACAAGCTTCTCTGAGTGTGACAGATGTCAAAAGAACTATCACCCTAGCAATCAAAACAAACAAGTTGAAAGCTGGGAAATCCTAAAACAATTACCACCACCGACCACCACCATTCTGAACCACTGCCAACCACCACCATCGACCACTTCCATTCTTAGTCAACATACAGTAGAACCAGCAGCCAATTCTGTCAGGTGGTTTAGTTACTTCTGTACATCACCTATGTCATTATTGTTCCTGCCATACTATACGACACAGGACAAACATTTAAAAACCCAGGCAACTGCGGGTAAAAGTCAATAGTTAGGGACATGCATATCAAATAGAACAAGCATAGATATCTGCATGTGGAGCATGTAAAAGAGAAAAAAATATATAATAAAAAGAAATGCCACAAGTAACAAACATGTTTATCAGATGTTAAATAACTTATCAATGCACATTATTTTTTCTAAAGTTGCTAAATAACCTATCAACGCATATCACTAAAAACAAATTAGCACACAAAAGTTTGCACTTCAGCAGTACCATACAAATAGAAAATCCGGTAGCTTAGACTTATAATTATCAATGTGAACAACATATACAATGAGTTATTTTAATTAATATACCAAAATCTGAACATCTTGTCTTCCACGAACTAGAGGAGGAATATTTTAAATAATGTTGCATACAAGGAAGAAACCATTTCCTTCTATATGAAGCCAACCTCTGGGTCAAGAGTTTACCCCACCTCACTTCCCTGTTTCTTATTCCAAGCAGAACCATGGCATCCACAAACCAAACATCCCTGGCTCTTTGGGTTTTACTCTTCTTCTCGGCTACTTTGCTTTCAGTACATAGATTCATGCAAGAATGCCATGAACAAAGGTTACAAACTAGCAGTCAACGAGTTTGCAGACCTTACAAACAAAGAGTTCAGGACCGCAAGGAACCGGTTCAAGGCACACGAATGCTCCCCGTCCACCACAGCTTTCAGGTATGAAAATTTGACAGCGTTTCCATCATCAATGGATTGGAGAAAGAAAGGTGCGGTAACACCTATTAAAGACCAAGGCTAAAGTGGTAAGCAGTGATTATTTTGGGAAATTCACAAATCAAACATTGCCCAAATACCAATATACGATTTTTAGAACGACCAGACTTGCTTTCTGACATCAATATTTCACCATGATATGTAGGATGTTGCTGGGAATTTTCAGCTGTGGCAGCTATGGAAGGAATAACCCAAYTGAAAACAGGTAAATTAGTGTCTCTATCTGAACAAGATACAAGTGTTAAGATACAAGTTGGGTATTATTGACATTCATAGCCCAGCTTGAAGGGGAGTGTGGAAATCTGATAAGCATAGGACTATTCACATGGTTAAGTTGTTAGGATAAGCTTCCTTTTATAATTATTA